CAGGTATCCCCAAAGTGGCCTCAGTAGCCAGGTAGGAGCTTGTGCACTGGCCTTCCCCAGCTGAGTAAGACCACAGGGAACACAGGGAAGGACCACAGAACCTGGGGAAGCTCCAGATCTCGCACCCAGAGAGAAAGCGGAAAACCTGGAAAGAGCCAGGCTCCTAGGGCCACATCAACAGACAGCAGCCGGAGGAGGAGGAGGATGAAGGGTGGGCGTGCATTGCAGGATGCTGTGGGCGCAGGTGTGCCCTAGCCACGCTCACACAAGTAGCACACTCACACAGGGCTCTGGCCTGTTCTAACACATCTGGAGATCTTCCATAACAGTTTACAAAATGGATCTTGGCAAAAGTTAAGGTACAGGTTTAACATCTGCTATCCTATTAAATGCTATTTTCTATTTTTGTTTGTTTATTTATTTATTTTTGTTTTACAAGACAGGGTTTCTCTGTAGCTTTGGAACCTGTCCTGGTACTCGCGCTGTAGACCAGGCTGGCCTGGAACTCCCAGAGATCCACCTGCCTCTGCCTTCCGAGTGGTGGGATTAAAGGCATGGGCCACCACTGCTCAGCAATTTTATGCTATATTCTGTTTTTTTTTCTGTTTGTTTGCTCATTGGAGACAATAAGCTGTAATCAGAGGCCCAGGCTAGCCTCTGATTTGCCCAAATCTTCCTGAGGCAGCTTCCTGGCTCATTGAGATTAAGCAGGGTTTTCAGCGAGCACATATTTTTCTCAGATTTCATATGCAGTCAAGAATGACCTGAAACTCCTAATCCCCCCGCCTTCACCTCCCACATACTGGGATTACAAAAAGTATTTGCCACCATGCCTGGCTTCACACAGATTTTTTTTTTTAATTCGTTTATGTGCATGTGTTTGTGCAGGTGTTCTTGGAGACAAAAGAAGTTGCCAGATCCCCTCCCCTAGAGATTAAATTACAGGCAGCTGTGATCTGCCCCATGTAGGTGCTAGAAACCAAACTCCAGTTAGAAGAGCAGCAAGTGCTCCCTACTGCTAAGCCATCCCTCCAGCCCCTTTCTCCTTCCCTCCTTCTTTCTTTTCTTTCCTTTTCCCCATCTCCTTTTTCTTTCAGATGAGATCTGGTGTGTTCAGGGAGGTATAGCTGTAGACTCTTTTTTCTTTCACCTCCGCAGCCCTTTCACACACGGTTTTCATAGCATTTGAAATGTAATGAGTCTGGCGATGTAGTTGTTAGCAGCTCTAGGTCTGACTATCGTAAAACACTCCACACAAAGCCAGGCCTGAGGCTGAGGAGGTGGTTCCCTGGGTAACAGCTAACAGCGCTTGCTGAGGATCTAAGTTTGAATCCCCGGCGCTCATGTGAAAACCAGGGCATGACTGCGTGCTCAGATCTGTAGCCCTAGCACTGTGGGGAAGAGGCAGGAGGATCACTGGAGTTTGTAGTTTGTGGCTATAGTTCCAGGTGCGGTGAGAGACGCTGTCTCAGAGCGGTAAGACAGAGGGTGGCAACACCAGACAACTGATGTCCTCCTATAGCCTCTGTGTACATGGAGGCATACACACACACACACACACACACACACACACACACACCTAGCTCTTGGAAAAGTTCTTTATAAACTTCTACCCAACTCCCATGGAGTAGAGGCTCCCTCAGAGGGTTAGCTGAAGGGCGGCTGAAGGGAGCTAGGAGTCAAAAGTATAGGAACAGAGAAGAGAGGTGCACCGGAGGAGAAGGGGGTGGGCACACTTTCTCTTACAGGTACTTTGGCTAAAGTACTTGAAACAACTTGAGAAAAAGTTTATTCTCTCTCTCTCTCTTTTGGTTTTTCAAGACAAGAGTTTCTCTGTGTAGCTTTGGTGCCTGTCCTAGAACTCACCCTGTAGACCAACCTGGCCTTGAATATGTCTCGCCTCCCAAGTGCTGGAATTAATGAATGATGTGCACCACCGCCGCCCGGTTTGCAAAACCTTATTCTGACTGATGGTTCAGGGCACGTCCGTGCATCATCTCCAGGAAGGCATGGTGGCAGAAATATGAGTTTGTTTGTTTAAGTCACATTAGACAGGAAGCAGAGAACATGACTGGAACCTGGGGTGAACGTGACATCCTCAGACCCTGTAGCAGAGGGTCTTATTTCCACCAGCCAGGTTCCACTTCCTCCAGGCTCCACAGACTTCAAAATAGTTCTCCAAGCTAGGGACTGAGTGTTCAAAACAAAAGCCTGTGAAGGACATTCCAGATTCAAACTAACAGATGGGAGGAGCCAGGGACCGAGAGGCTGCAGGGGAGAGAAGAGGGGAAGGATCACAGACAGAGCCTACATACATACAGTGATGGGGCTATGTGCTCTTGAGGTGTGGCCCGGAGCTGGCAATCGCTGGCATCTGCAGGCATGGGAAAGCCAGTTACCGTGCTAAGCCTCCATTATACTGGCCAGCCGCTCTCACTTTGTTTTCATAGTGGTTTTTGGTTTTTTTTTTTTTTTTTTTTTTTTTTTTTTTAAAGAAAAGGTCTAGGCTGGGTGGTAGTGGCACACACCTTTAATCCCAGCACTTGGGAGGCAGAGACAGGTGGAACTCTCTGTGAGTTCAAGACCAGCCTGGTCTACAGAGGGAGTTTCAGGACAGGCTCCAAAGCTACAGAGAAACTTTGTCTTGAAAAACCAAAAAAAGAAAGGAAGGAAGGAAGGAAGGAAGGAAGGAAGGAAGAAAGAAAGAGAGGAAGAAAGAGAGGAAGAAAGAGGGGAGGAAAGAAAGAAAGGAAGAAAGGAAGAAAGGAAGAAAGGAAGAAAGGAAGAAAGAAAGAAAGAAAGAAAGAAAGAAAGAAAGAAAGAAAGAAAGAAAGAAAGGTCTTGCTGGGCAGTGCTGGTACACTATGTAGCCTTGACTGTCTTAAGGCTTAGTAGACCAGCCTGGCCTTGAACTCACAGAGATCTAACCTGCCTCTACCTCCAAAGTGCTGGGATTAAAGGTGTGCACCACCATACCTGGCCCAATATTTTTATTATTACATTTCCTGTCTGTCTGTCTGTCTGTCTGTCTCTCTCTCTCTCTCTTCTCCTCTTCTCTCTCTCTCTCTCTCTCTCTGTGTGTGTGTGTGTGTGTGTGTTGCCATGATGCATGTGTGGAAGGCTGAGGACAACTTGTGGCAGTCAGTTCTCTTTTTCTACCATGTGGGTCCTGGGCATTAAATTCAGATCATCACAGACTTGGAAACAAGTGCCCTTCCACGCCCCCTCCCCCACCCCATCCCAAGCTGTCTCACCAGTCTCAACTTTACAATATCCCCTCCCCCAACAAAACCTGCCGAGCTTGAAGACTTTAGACAGGTGGGCTGCAAACCCTGGAGTCAGTGAAGAAGCTGAGCTCCACCTTCACCCCCTTGACCACCCACTGTCGCCGCCTCCAGGAGAGAAGGTGTAAAAGTAGACCTAGGCCTGCAGGGAGATGCTGCGGCCCATGGTGGGGTCGAATGTAGCTAGAAGTAATTCTCTGTCTATCCCGTCTAGTCTGCCTGGACTGGTTTCTCTCCACCCACTGGGTCCCCGCAGCCGTTTATAAGATAACCACTCAGAGACTTAATATAAGTTATAATTGTTTGGCCGATGGTTTAGGCTTATTACTGGCTAGCTCTCCCTCTTTGTAAACTAGCCCCTTTGTAAATTGGGGCTGGAGAGATGGCTCAGAGGTTAAGAGCACTGGCTGCTCTTCCAGAGGTCCTGAGTTCACTTCCCAGCAACCATATGGTGGCTCTCAACCATCCATAATGAGACCTGGTGTCTTCTTCTGGCCTACAGGCACACATGCAGACAGAATACTACATACATAATAAATAGATAAACAAATAAGTATTTTTTAAAAATTAACCCATTTCTACTGATCTGTGTATTGTCACATGGCCATGGCATTACCTCTGTTCTGGCATCTTTCTCCTTAGGCTGCTACTGTGAGACTACATGGCATCCACTCGACCTCACCTAATCCATCTATCTATCTATCTATCTATCTATCTATCTATCTATCTATCTGATCTATCTGTTTGGATTTCTCACCTAGGTATATTCCGCCGGGCCATTGGCTGGAACAGCTTTATTCATCAACCAATAAGAGAAACACATAGTCACAGCCTACAGCAGGACATCCTACATCAATGGGATGCTCGCTGCTCCCCTCACCCCTGAGGAGCAGGAACTAAGCATGGTCTGACAACCAGGGTGAGTACAAGTACACAGTGGAACCTTCCACTCCAACCTCTGTGCTGGGGATGAAACCAGATGCGTGCCGGGCAAGCTCTCTACCACTCAGCCCCACCTAACCCCCAGCGACTGTCATAATTAACAGAGGGGTTTCTAGGGCCCAAGCTCTTTTTAGGATGACCCTGAAGTTTGCAGCCTTTTGCAGCTCTCTGTCCTCCCAGCCCAGCTGAGTAGGCAGACTTGCCCTGTGTCACAAGGTTAACTCCAGCACTAAGGACAGTCAGCTTAGATGCCACCCAGGCCCTGTTCTCTACTATCCCGCCCCACTGCTAGAGAAATGGCTCCCAAAGAAAGACTGGCTAAATTGGTGTCCTGAGCACAAACGAGGACAGAGAGGCGGTGAGAGGGGTGACATAAATCTTGGTTTTAACCCCAGTATAGCACATCTGTAATCCCAACTCTTGAGAGGCTGAGGCAGGAGGATCGTAGCGGGAAACCTGTCTGAACTACATAGTAAGACACTGATTCCCCTCCCCGCCAAATAAATAAAAAACTCACGGATTCAGACTCAGTATCACCCTTCCTTATCACCCCCCAAAGTATTGTCATGGCAACTTCTCACAGCCCCGTGGCTGCACCCACACCTACCTACACACCTCCAGCGTAAACCAAGAGTCATCCCCTCCATTCAGCCCACCAAGACAGCCACTTGGCAGGCTCAGGACATTCAGGACCCTTGCTTTACAAGTACCTGTGACATCACCAGCTGCCCACAACCTCCTGTGACCTCACCACCTAGACAACTGAGCCTAGCCGAGCCCAAGCCACTCCTTCCCAACCACCACACATAGCAGGGGGCATAGATGACCGCCGAGCCCCCGGAAGAGGCTGAAGCCACCAGCAGGCCGGTATATGATCTTCCCGAGGCCTCCGTGGGCAGCGAAGCCGATGACAACTCTGCAGAATCGCCTGGAGAGTCCCAAAGTCTGGACTTCCTGCCCGATGACGTCCCACCGGTAGGCATCACTGCGGCATTCTCCGAACAGCAGGAAGTAGACCAGGCCTCTATCACGACAACCATCGCCACAGAGAACGATGAAGATCAACTCTCCATTGAGGCTGACACCTTCATGGGACAGAATGAAGAGTGGGCCCCCGTGCAGAGTGCCACCTCCATGGAGCAATATGTAGACCAAGTGTCCATGCAGACTGCCACTCTCATTGGGCAGGATAAAGACCAGGCCTCCATGCAGATTGCCACCTCTAAGGGACAGGATGAAGACCAGGCCTCCATGCAGATTGCCACCTCTAAGGGACAGGAGAAAGACCAGGCCTCCATGCAGATTGCCACCTCTAAGGGACAGGATAAAGACCAGGCCTCCATGCAGATTGCCACCTCTAAGGGACAGGATGAAGACCAGGCCTCCATACAGACTGCCACCTCTAAGGGACAGGATGAAGACCAGGTGTCAATGCCAATCTCCCCTTCCATGGGACAGGATGGAAATCAGGCCTCCATGCAGATAGCCACCTCCATCGGGAAAGGTGTAGAGATAGTCATCTCCATGAATATGCCAACTTCTGGGGACAAAGATGAGAACCCAGACGCTCCAAGCCAAAACCAGGAGAATCCTGAAGAGAACACATCTCTGTTCCCCCAAGACCCAGGTATCCTGCAAGTGTTTGTGGGCTTCCAGAACCCAGTGTGGGACAGACTGGCTGAAAATAACCGCACAACTCGGAGCCGCACAGTTTCCCCAAGTGACTCCCAGAACCAGGAAAAGACACCAGGAAAAGAGCATGTTCCTGAAGGGCAGCCAGAAATAGTTCCAGAAGCTGAGGTCCCATCCGCCCCGCCTGAAGATGTCCAGCCTTCTGTAGCGGCTACTGACCCATCCACTTTGAATACCAGTAGTCCTGACCAAGAACCCAAGGGTATCACCAACTCTGCTGAGCATGAAGCTGAAGGTTTCAAGGCCTTGAACCCTGAAAGCAAAGCTAGACATCCAGGGCCTACCAGGGAGGATTTAGCTGATGAATCAAGCATCTTGCAGACACCCCCACCTTTCTCCAGCTCCCCAGGTGGCAGTCCACCTCCCTCTCCAGGTCCCGGCCACGTGTCCCTGGGCAGGAACCTTCTAGACCCCAGCCTGTACAGGCCCTATGTGGAGAATGACTACATGCGGTCCATGACTAGCCTGCTGGGCGGAGGTGAGGGCTCCATCAGCTCCCTTGCAGACATCCTGGTGTGGTCAGACACAGCCACGGGCATGGGCTTGGCTGTCGGCATGCTGGCTTCAGGCCGCAGCTCTCCAGCTGACAGGCTCCGCGACGAGGGTCCCAGCCTGCGCACTGTCTCCAGTCTCTTGGGCAGTGCCAGGTCAGCTCTCTCCTCTGGATTGGTGGCTGGAAGTGGCTCAGCCCTGCGCTCAGTCACCCACCTGCTGGAGTCTGTGGAGAGGCGAACTGTAGAAGGCATCCGGTCAGCTGTTCGCTACCTGGCCAACCACTTCACCTCACGCTGGCCCCGCACTGGCCCCAGTAGTGACTAGAACAGCAAGTCCCCTGCTCCCTCCCCAGCCCTACGCTAGATAGATGACTGCCCCAGCCCTTCAGTAAATAACCACAAGCGTTTATTTTCTAATCTCTGCCCTTATCCATGCAGTAGGACAACGGAGTAAAGGGGCAGAAGGGGTCCAGAATGTTCTGGAATTAAGAATGCTCAGAGGTTGCTCCATTCTGGTCAGCTGGGCCCTGACAGGGCTGGGGAAAAGAGTGGAGGGAGTTCCAAATGGGCGAAAGACAGCTGTGTTTCCACAGGTAACCTGCCTGTTGAGGTTCTGGGAGGCGTAGAGGGTATTGGGGGATAGAGTACTATGCTGGGCCTCACAGAAGGGACACACACCCCTGAGTCCTGTGTAATCCGTTTACAGACTTCTGGTGTCTCTTGTCCTAGGCCCCATTCGCTGGCCTCCCTCTCCTCATCAATAGAGACAGGAATGCCACCCCCCCTATACACACACACACGCCAGTTCCAGAAGACAGAGGGATACAATGGAGTTTTATGTAGTAGTACTCCATGGGACTGGGCTCGGAGGGTGATCAAACCATGGCTTGGACTAATGGGTAGAAGGATACTGAGATGGATGTAAGGCCATTAGATTTCCAGCTGGCCAAGCAGAATGACTGCCCAACTTCGGCACAGATAATTTTTCCAGGATGTTTGCTCTGGCCTCTGCCATTCACATCTTATATGTGCAAGGGCGAGAATCGCAAGCACACCCAGGGCCACTTGTGTTGGAATCCACAGTCATCCTCTGACAAGATCCAGGGCGATATCTTGGGCAAAGCCCCAGTCCAATCCTGCCCTCAGACACAGCCTTACAGCCAGCCAGGGACACCCACCCATCCATTCTAACTTTCCTGTGTGTCTCCAGAAGGGGCCCTGGGGATGAATCCAGGCTTGGTTTTTTTAATATTTATTTATTATGTGTACAATATTCTGTCTGTGTGTATGCCTGCAGGCGAGAAGAGGGCACCAGACCTCATTACAGGGTTGTGAGCCACCACGTGGTTGCTGGGAATTGAACTCAGGAACTTTGGAAAAGCAGGCAATGCTCTTAACCTCTGAGCCATCTCTCCAGCCCCCTGGTTTAGTTTTTAGAGTTTTTATTATGTACATATTTTTAAAAACTTTTTTCCTTTTAAATACATTTATTTTATGTATATGAGTACTTTACCTACACGTATGTATGTATGTATATGCACAACATTCATGTAGTGTCCACGGAGGCCAGAAGAGGGCATTGTGTTTCCCACCTGCCAAACCAGAGAGTTTTGAATTAATATGGGTGTTGGGAGTTGAACCTGAGTCCTCTGCAAGAGCAGTTAGTGCCCTTAACTGGCGAGTCACCTCTCTGGTCCCAATTACTTACATTTTTAAAGTTTACAGAATGTTTTAAGGTTTCTATTGCTGTGAAGAGACACCATGACCATGGCAACTAATAAAGAAAATATTTAATTGAGGTGGCTTGCTCACAGTTTCAGAGGTTTCATCCATTACCGTCATGATGGCTGGGAGTGTGACGGTGAACAGGCAGATATGGTGCTGGAGAATTCTACACCTCGGTCCAAAGACAACAGGAAGTGAACTGTCTCACTGGGCACGACTTGAACATATATGAGATCACAAAGCCTGCCTCCGCAGAGACACACTTCCTCCAGTAAGGTCATGCCTACTTCAACAAAGCCACACCTAAATAGTGCCTCTCCCTTTGGGAGCCATTTTCTTTTAAACCATCACACATAACAGGACTTTTGCTTCTCTGAAATAATAATAATAATAATAAAAACACAACTAGCGGGCTGGAGAGATGACTCAGTGGTTAAGAGCACTAACTGTTCTTCCAAAGGTCCTGAGTTCAATCCCCAGCACCCACATGACAGCTCACAACTGTCGTAAATCCAGTTCCAGGGGATCTGACACCTTCACACCAGTGCACATAAAATAAAGTTAAATATTATATATATATGTGTGTGTGTGTGTGTGTGTGTGTGTGTGTGTGTGTGTCTTGCGAGATGACTCAGCAGTTAAGAACAGTGGTTGCACTTCCAGAGGTCCTGAGTTCAATTCTCAGCAACCACATGGTGGCTCACAACCATCTGTAATGAGATCTGATGCCTTCTTCTGGTCTGCAGGAACACATGCAGGCAGAGCACTGTTTTCAATAAAATTTTTTTAAGAAAATCTAAGATTCTCATTTTTTTTCAGGGTTTAAGCAGTTGATCTGCCTACTGCCCATGACAGCTTCCCTGGCCTTTGTCAGTGAAGGATGACCCACGCTGGTCCCCGAGGCACCAGCTGTTGTTACTCCTACCCTACGGCTGGCTCAGTACTCCAAACCCCAAGGCCCCACCTCTGTACACCCTTGCCACTGGGAAGCTGCCACTTGCTGAAGGGGCAGCTCAGCTGTCTCTGTGTTGTAAAAACAAGGAATTCAGAATATGGAGACTGATTATGAAGGACCCATAAAGGGGCCTCCCAGAAGAACGACTGAGTCAGACCTTAAGAGTGAGAGAAGAGCCGGGCAGTGGTGGTGCAGGCCTTTAATTCCAGAACTTGGAAGGCAGAGGCAGGCGGATCTCTATGAATTCAAAGCCAGCCTTGGTCTACAGAATGAGTTCCAGGACAGCCAGAGCTGTTACATAGAGAAATTCTGTCTTGAAAACATACAAACGCCTGTCCTCCCAATCAAGCCACAGTGGGCCCAGAATCAGGGACCTTCCGCAACACAGCTAGACCCACAGTCAGCAGGGTAAAGAGGGGCCTGACTTTTGGGCTCAGGCTATCTTGAATGCTGGCTCTACTGTGGACCAGCTATGTTTCCAGCACTCTGCTGGGCCTCAGTTTCCTCACCTGTAATGGGATCATAACTTCCTGCTGCACTGGGTTTTCAGGAACGAGCCAATTGTCCAGGGCACACAGTGGAGTCTGTGTAATGATTAGCCATCATGGTGACTCCTGACAGAGCTGGTCCTGAGGAGTTGGATACCAAAAACGCATACTGCTCGATCATAAGTAGGAGAGGACAGCTATAGAATAGCAATCATTTGAGCTGGACCTTTACTCTTAGGATAGCAAAGGACCAGCAGAAGTGTGGTGATGGTGACTTGCAAGAGGGGGCGACTGTGGGGCTTCTCCACAGAGAGATGGTACAGACCCAGGAAGCTCAGGGTCAGCAGTAAAAGGAGATAAAGCAAAGGGAGTAGGGACCATCACAGATTGGATGGATTGAGAGGCCAGGGGGAAAAAATCCAAATCCTTGAGCCAAGCAGTTAGCAGATGTGCAGCACCAATGTCAAGCGATGGAAGCCAAAGGGTTAACAGAGGCTTGGGAAAATTCCAGTGACTTTTCTGCTCCCAGGAACACTGAAGGAAACATATGTCTGGGTCCTTGACACCAGGAGTAGCAGGCTCCTTCCCCTTTTCACTGTCAAAGTGTCTAAAAGGACACTTGAAACCCATAGCTACACAAGGACATAGCTCATGCTCAGAATGGGGACAAGCTAATAAGCCAAGACTGGAACCCACTGTTCTGTCTTGCACTGGATTCTGCAAGTCCAAATCCCTAGGTCCTCAGAGGCTGTGGCAGTCACACACCATTTGTTTGGGGTCTCTGCCCTCCCGCTGCACCCCCTACTGACTGCCTTGGTCTTTGCTGCCCTACAGACCAACTGATCTGGTGTGGGCTGCAAAGCCCTGGCCTGCTCTCTCTCCTCTCCCCAATATGAGGGATTCCACCTAGCAGCTTCCCCAGAACGGAACTCCAGGCATGCAGATGCTGGCACACCTGGGGAGAAAATTGTGACGGCACACATGGGGGTGGAGGTGAGCATTCAACATAGCAATGTATACATCCCAGCCAGGGTAATGTGGCCAGGAGTGAACTAACAGAGCAAAAGGACAAGGTGGAAGGCAGGGGCTGGATAAAGAAACCTCCCCCTCCTCCACCCACTGCAAGAGAAAGAGAGGGAGCTGTTGCGGAATATTAGTTGAAGATCTGTTACATTTGTTTATGCTGTGGAATATTTGTTTAATGATGTAAAGATGTGTTGCATTCTTTTATATTGCATTTGTTTAACTCTGTGAAACTCTGTTACTTTACCTGCCTATGTTGGACTCTAGTGTCCAACCCGAGAAGGAGTCGCCCCCAGAGACCACCTCATATACCCAGTCGATGCAAAAGCATGAGGATTTTATTAATTCTGTCATGACAGGGTCCCTCAGCATTCGGGAAGCCGAGAGACCTCGAATAGCTGGTACAGTCTACTTTTAAAGGAGAAGGCCCCATAGAAACAAGAGGGGTTGTTCCTTGACCATTATGATTGGCTTATTCGAAAAGAGCTAATACCAATAATTGACTGGAGAACTATTGTCAGATCAGATGAGGTAAGAGGTCATTTTGACCCCGTTTCCCAGGGGACTGAGTCAAAACATACGTGTATGGGTAATTGTTCAGGAACTGAGTATGTGCATGTGTACCTGTTAGGTCCTTGGTTCCCAGGGGAGGAGGGGAAGCACTAAGGCACGGAGACTGAGAGGGTTTGGAATTGTCAGAAATGGTTTCAGAATTGTCTAAAATCTTACACCTAAAACACAGGATTGGTCTAATAAAAAGCTGAACAGTCAAAAGCTAGGCAGGAGAGGGATGGGTGGGGCTTCCAGGAAGAGAGAATAAATAGGAGGAGAAATCTAGACTTGTGAGAGGAGAGGAGAGAGGAGTGGGGAGGGG